AGCTCAAGTAATACATGCTGTTTTAAAATCTTCTCAATACAAATGTTCAAAGTGTGATAAAAAAGGTCATAATTCTCACAACTGTCCTAAAAATAAAAAGAAGAGCAAGTCTAGACGTTCTAATAAAAGCAGATCCAAGAAAAAAGGTAGGATTAATCTTGCTACTAAAGATTCAGATTCTGAATCTTATGCTAGCTCTTCTGATAATGAATCTAATTCCAACTCCAATTCTGGGTCTGGTTCCGAATTGGAATCTAATTCTGTGAATGACTTAACTGAAACTGAAATCGTGAAAATTATCAATGCTGTTAAATCAAAAAAAAAGTAAAGCCAAAGAATAAATCGAATAAATCATTATCTAAAAAGCCTAGTTCAAAGAAAAGTTCTTCACAAAAAATACAAAAAAAATCAGATGCAATTATTAACTCACAAATTCAAAAAATTATTCTAGCTATGTTTAATGATCCAGAGGTTATAGAAACTATTAAAAACAATATTAATAATACAAATTTATCTATGACTTGAAGAGTTGCTCCTGAAGGGCCTGCAAAACCTGACTTTATAAATTATCAAGAGCCGGCCCCAGAAATACCTGAATCAGATGATGAAGAGGAGACACTGAACGATCCTATGGAGATTGATTTTGTTTGAAGAAAGGAACCTACCACAAGTCTTGCAACTATACCAGTTAAAATTAAATGCTTAAAAATTCCAGCATTAGTACTTGATAGTGGAGCTAAACCCCCAATTATGTCAGAAGATATTGTTAAACGTGTAAATTGGCTAATTGATAAATCAGAAAAATATGATCTTAGTGGTGTTGCTACAGTTCTAACAGAATCTATCGGTATTGCTCATAATTTTCCAATAACATTCCCTCCAGGTTTTACTATACGTGAAGATTTTGTAGTTGTACGTGTCCCTAAACCAACATTAATATTTCCAAACCCACTTCTCAAGAAATATAAATGTACTATAGATTGAGGGAAAGATGAATTGAAAATTCCTTTCAATGGGAAGGATCACATTATTCCAGTAACTATGCATAAAGTCAAGAATAAGCTTAAAGTAAATTATGCTACTGCATCTCAGAATAATAAGTCATTAATATCCAATCAAATTTCTCAAGAAATGGATAGTAATAAGGATGACAATATAATATTGGAGGAATGGTATGCTCCTGCGGACTTTAGCCCAGATTTTAATGATCCGTCGTTAGCGGAACAAGTATCTTTAGTACTAAAAAAAAATGCATGAGTTATGAGGAGTTAGAAAAATCACTATATGAGGTACTCGAATCCAATACTGAATTAATCAAGCTTAATAAAAAACTATGGGCTTATAATAAATCTGATATTGAAACAGTATGTAGACTTGAAGAGCCATTGCTCTGCAATAGATTGCAAACTACTTTAGAAAAAACAAAAATAGATTAGTTAGAATCTAAGATTCTTTTCGTCTCACGTTTAGCTTCTTCCCTTTCTTTACGATTTTGTGCAAGCTTAACTTGTAAGTCATCCATTTCATCTACTTTTTTTATCAGAATATCAGTTATACCAACTTTATTAGCTGAAAAGCTAGCCTTCATCCTAATAATATTGACTGAATCAGATACTCGAACAGATCTAGAACTGGATCCTGGTTTTCTTTTCTTTGACTTTCTATCCGAAGTATTATTTTCAGATATTATCTCAGAAGAAACAACACTATGTATTAGTTGCTATTTGCGCAAGGGTATATCTTCAGCATATCTTTTCCAAATTTCATATATTCTACGAGTTGAAGTACTATATCTATTAGCCATTTCTCTGCATGCATTTTTAACTGTCCCTCGAGATTGAATGATTTTCTCAATAGCTTCTGATGATAAATAAGGAGTACCAGCACAATAATATTCTATAGTTATATGTTCTATCCTTTTTATAATTATAAAAAATTATCAAAAATTATTGGAAATTATTGGAAATGCTAAAACACATCTATATTTCTTATGTTAAAAAATGACCAGTAATTATAGGTAATTACATACTTAATATTCAATAATTTTCTAAAAAAATTGGTAATTATCTATTATTGTTGAATTATATTGGAGCATAATTTCTTTGATAGCATTATCGATAAGTATATATGTGTTTCATATTTTGCTATTTTTCATAATATTTTTCTTTATTTAATATGGCCAATATAATAGATCTTAAAAAAGAATTATATAATACCCTCCAAGATTCTTCTGAGATAGTTTCATACAATACTAAATTGCAGGATAAGTATGAAAAACAAGAAAAAAAAATCAATTGGGAGAGAAAATAATGGGATTGGGATAGAAAGAAGTGGAGTAAAAAACTAGAAGGGGCTAATACTAAGATCCAGAAATTACACACTCATGATCTGGAACTTATTAAAGAGACCAGACGTCTACAGATTAAAAATGCTTGCAAAGATATATCTCTTGCGGAATCCAAGACTAAGTATGCTACAAAATTAGAGGAGATTAAATTACTTCAGAATGGGATAAAATTATTGAAAGATAAGCTAGATTTATCTCAGAAAGACTCATCAAAGAAAGGGTCCGAAATCGACTCTCTCAAGTCTAAGATAGTTGAATTAGCTTTAAAAATTAGTGAATTGGAGCATCTGAAACCTGAGAATATATCAGGATCTATAATTGGTAGAGATGATGAGGGGCAGAGCCTCATGACTCGAAGAGTCACTCTAAAGGAGCCTGTTCCCACAATAAAAAATATGCTGTGCGAGGAATAAAGTTCCATAACCAAGCCTAATGATATATCTGTAGTATTACAAAGCAGGCCATTAGGTGATGAATCAGAGATTCGAAACTCTGTCTCTTCTTTGAATCATGATACTTACGTGTCTAATGAATCTAGTAAAAATCTAAGTAAGTATTTTGTACGCAGAAAAAGTATGGATCAAACTGAAAAAATCGATAATGATATCTTGGCAGATACTAGTATCTTTGGTACTTGCTTCACTAATGATAAAATTGATAATACGTATCTTGAGTCAGAGACTCATGGCTTATTGTGGAACAATGGCACTTACGTGCCTGCCACTGATACTAGCTCTACTATTATACCAAATAATATTGATAATGAAATAACTCCTATACCAAACGTGACTCTGTACCTTGCACAACCAGAAAATAACATATCCTCTTTGATTCAATCGAATTCTCAGATGGGACCTGATCCCGAGACTTTGCCTCTTCCAATAGGAGAAATAGGAGCGATGAGATCTAGTCTCAAGGCTTTGCCTCTCCCTGCTATGGCAAACACTTTAATATCACCACTATCGGCATATATTTTTCTTGCTCTGTTAATTATTACGGTTGTATAGTTTGTGAGACGCACATGGAATATAGGTAGGCTTGAAATGCCATTGCTCTGCAGGCCTGAAGGGGTGACCCTAAAGGGTTATAAAAGACATGATCGGTTATTGGATACATGAGCTAGGTATTAGGAGCTATCTATTTAAACTTTGATATTATTTATGTACGAAAAAAAAATATTATTAATAATATATAGCGGGCTAGTATCTAAAGACATATAAGTATCTTAGTAGATTGTGGTGATCTTAGCTAAGAATACTATTACGAAGCAATGACCCTTTGGATCTAACAATATAGATAAATTAATTTAAGCCTTTGATATATTTCGTAAGCTATTTTTTGGCTTCCCTCTGGGAATATATGTCAATCTGCTTTTTTTTCTCATCCGAATCTTTGAGTTGCATAATTTTATGTGTAGATAGTGGTTAATATTTCTCATCTTCATTGATAAACCATGCACATAATCCCAACGTACTTTCTATATAGTAGTTGATATTTATTTCCATGTTCTGCTCTTTTGCAAACTCTGGATATTCCATATAATCACCAAGTCTATATGGTATTAATTGACCTTTTTCATCATGATAATATTTACCTTTTATTATTACATAACTGAAGCATTCACCAGGATCTGAAATATTTAATTTTTTTTCTTTCATTCATGTTATAAAACGCTGGACACGAAGGTTTTTTTTCTTAGGCTTCCATATAGCCATCTCAATAAATTGACTAAAGTCCCATTGCTTATTTCTGGTCTCTCTAAGAGTATCTTCAACAATTTTATGAATTGATCGTGTATTATTTATATTCATAGTCTCCTACATAATTTTTTTCCTGATGAATTTGAAAAGCTGAGACTGGTTTTGCTTTACACTATCAATCCCTTTTTTAAAGAGATTATCTGGTTTGAAATTGACAACCCCTTCATGTGGTACACTGAAGTATTTTTTCTTGCTGGTAAAGTAAACAGGAAATAATACCTCTTTGTATGCTATTTTAAGATAAGATGTGCCATTTTTTATCCTCAGATAAGCATTTACTTGATTACGCAACTTTTCCATCACAGCCATAGTAATTTTAACCATTTCAGACCAGTATTCCTCCTTAGAAAGGTTCCCTTCATTAAAATCTCTATCATATTTTTCATAATATTTATCCGAACAGGTAAGATATAAAGAATTGGTATCCCTATATTTTATTCTGAAACCTTTTTCAGATATGAATTTAGCAATGATATCAATATTATATTGATCCATAGAAGTAATCTCTCTGGCTAATTCATGAAGAAAGATTGGAGATTTTGAATTTCCTGCTTCCCCGTAAAAAGTATTCATATATACCTTCAAAGTCTTTTATTTCGAATTCAAATAATTGTAATCGAAGCATATAGATGAGTATTCTAAATTTAAACTTTCCAGGATTTTTTTACCTTTTACTTTAACTGAACTTATTATTTTTCCAAGGCGTTCCTTTTTCTTTCCTAATGAGGCAAATTGTGCTTTAAGATTTACTCTCTTATTGAATAGATCCTCTAATATGATAGGATACAAACCCTTCTTTTCAAATTGATTATCATGTCTTATATATCAAGCATGGATAATACGGTTATTAAATGGAAACTCAATCTTATGCAAGTTATTTCTATTTTTTTGTATAATATCAGCCTCTCTATAAGTTAATATCATTTTTTCCGGAGAAAGGTTATAAGCCATAATAAGACTGGGATATAAAGATGTAAAATCCAATCCCATAACAGACCTCTTCATCTCAATTTCTTTTTTAGATGGAAATACGTATGCATCAGGATACTTATCTTTTTCTATATTTTTACATGATCTTGTACTAAATAGTATATTACGTTTAGTGACATAAGTCCTCAGAAGATTTCATACTTTCATTTTATTTGCCTGATAATGTGAATCAAATAAAGATACATAAGCTATAGAAGCAACCTCTCTATAGTCATTAATTACATTTCGCTTAACCATAAGCTCCTGGCAATGTAATGCATCTATAATACAATAATATACTACTTTACGCATATTTTCTATAGTAGAATGTGATTTATTTAGATCCTTTGGATCATTGTCCCGCAATAAGAAAATACTCTCTTTCACTTCTGAGTAAATTTTTCATATTTTATTATATGGCATATCTGCTTTACCTCCCAATCCACATATTTTTAAGTAAAATACAAGTGAACTTTTTTTATCAACTTCTGCACGAGAATAGAGTTTCATAAAACATGCATGTACGTCAATTGGTACACAACCCGGTATTTTAAGAAAAGTGGAAATATAATTATCTTCTGGACTAAGTTTGATTATAATCGATTGTATTTTATCATTTTCTTCCTCATTATCATCAATGGCACCTTTTTTAATTTAAAAACTATTTTTAGATTTCACCCCTACTTTCCTGTAATAATTCCATTTTTGAATTTCTTTTGATGATTTAAAATTTCCCATCATTTGCTTCCACATCCATTCGAGAAGATTAAGTCTGCAAGCTCTTTCCATAATAAATGGCCAATCGTACTCAAAATTGCTAAATCCAAATTAAATATCAGGGATGAAAGCCTTCCAGCACAATGCAAATGCTTTTAATAAATTTGTCTGATTCCCATATACAACTATTATCCATCAAGAGTCCAGTTTAATTTCAAGATTGACGAGACAGATTTGTTTTAGTGATCTCAGATCATCTTTCCAATGCAAAGTTATACAAATTATGAATACGGTACTTTCTTCATCATGTATTTCAGTAAATTCACCTAACTCTCGTGATTGTGTCTCTATATCCCATATAAGGATAAGCATATGATCTCTCATGAGTGCTGAAATCAGAAAATAGTCACTTATCATTTTTAGATCTTCTACTGGTCGAAAATTATTTACAGAAAGTTGAAAATCATGCGTATAATAGGAATATTTTTTGTATCTATACTTGCTTATCATAGACCAACCAGAAATCGCAATTCCATTTTCTCTAGCTATTTTATGGTGGAATGAGAACATATTATCTGAAGCAGTTTCGAAATTATTATCTTGGATAGCTTGGAGAGCTCTCTTCCTATCCCCACTACCGAGTATAAAAATTCGTAAATATAACTTTTTTTCTATATGATAACCATGCAAGGGGAAGGCCTTAATATATTCTATTTTATAGATATTTATCGTATTACTAAGAATTTCATCTATTTTTATCCTAAACTCATTTACAGTTTCATTATCGGGTATAAGTATATCAAAGAAAATCTAGATTCCTGTAAGAGTAACTACCACTTTTTGGCCATTGATGAGAGAGCCGTAAAGATGTAAAACATAATGATTTTTTTCATCTATTTTTTCTGATGATTCCTCAAAATCAACAGTCATAAAAGGGATCTCTTCTCATTTAGCCAAAGCATTATTAAGAATTGCAGATAAACCCTCATCATTTTCTGTAACTATATTATCACAAGTTAGAAATC